AATGCCTGATGGGGCTGGTGGACCCCTGCCTGGCAGAACCCAGCTGGGGTCTGTGCTGGTGTGACAGGGGAGGAAGGGGAGAATAAACCTCTTCCTCGCCCCCTTTGCCTTAGGGGGGCCAGCATCTAGCCATGCCCCCGCCCCCGCCCCTGCTCCTGCTTGGGAGCAGAGGTGTGGGGCCAGCCCGGCTCTGCTGGAGCAGAGAGGACAGCTTAGCCCGGGGCTGCAGAGCATGCTGGGGGACTCCGATTTAACTTAAACCAGGAAGTGGTCTGGGACAGAAGTTCCATAAACCAGTTAGACCAGTCAAGTCTGATACTACATTCAACCAGGTTTATCTCAAACTGGTTTCAGCCATTTTCAAACTGGTTTATGTGCACTGAACATCTGTTCTGTTACAGTTTTAAACCAGTTTCTGATCACTTAAACCAGTTTATGTGCAACTTCTGGCCTTGTCCTGTGAGCATACTGCCTAAACAGACATTATTATACCATTCAGACCAAAAAGAGTGAGCACTGGTCTACACTGGAGTTATTTTATCGTTCTGTTTTCAAATAAATATCGTTTTTCTTTGCTCTTGCTTTTCCCCTCTATTAATTTTTATTAGCCTTTGAAGCAAAGCTATGCAAATACAAAGTGCATATGATCATGTTATTTTTCAAACGAAACAAGCTGAACCACATTTCTAATGTCACCGTGAACATATCTGGCAAATTATGAAAAAAATTGTAATTATCATGAATGCCTGGTATCTTGGCACTGAAGGGAATACAATATAGTAATCTTTAGAGAGTTAAGGTATTTTAATTCCATAAAATAAGCAAATCTCCCCAGCAGTAAACACTGTAATTAAAGCCACACATCTGCTTTATTAAACAGGAAAAAAACCAGCTGTCATTAAAGAACAGGAAAATGCTGCTACCCAGGCTACCAAGTCTTCAATGAGCGTTTAACACCACAACCACAAATCACTTGTTTATGAGCAAAGTTATATATAACAATCAGCACATTGCCTGTAATTGCAAGAACATGTACTCTATTAAAGAGTAAGGCTTTTGAAAAAGGTGTGTGCAGCAAGATTAACATAATCCCTGTACAGTCTCCCCGTCTTAATAATGCAAGATGCTCATAAAAAATGACAAATTTTACTCAGAGCACCTGGAGATGAACAGTTTGGATATGTAATGCCAAAATAAATAAACTCTTATTTTACAGTATATGCTGGGCAGTAACCATCCTATTCTAAATATTTTCCTTAAAATATGTTGATCTCAGAATGGCAAATGCTGGGAACTGATTTAAAAAAAAAAAAAGAACTTTGAATTATTTTAAATTAATTTTAAAAAACTTAAATTTCTCTGAATACCAGACCTCATGTGAAAAAAGATCATTAACATAAATATTAAAGAAGTAGTACACTAAAAATTTGGCCAGACTCCTGAGCACTCTGAAAACGAATCAGTTTGCCCAGGCATTTCATCACTTGAGGATAGTTAAACAATTTAGTTGAAAGCTGGACTATCCTCACCAAGTGTGGTCCTCCATTCATCTACTCATCATTCTTGAACTGGTCATGGTTTACCAATGTCTTTTTACAGACTAACAGTTTAGTTAGTTTTCCTCACTTAAGCCCAAATTCATAAACATTTGATTGTAGTCAGGAGCGTATTTACTGAAACGTGCAATTGTCTATGAAAACTTTCTCTGTTCAACAACAGTTAATGGAAGTAACATTAAAGTTTATCAACCATTCACCATATCAAAGCAAAGAATTAAGGACTGTATTTTTTCAGCAATATCCTGGCAGCAATTGAAAATTCTACTTAAAAAAAAAAATATTTCTGGACTCTTTTTAGTTCAGTTTCAACAAACAAACAAAACAAGCCCCTTAAATATTTCCCTTTCTTCTAGGTCAAAAACTTTTGGGAATTTTATAACTACTCTATTTTTACTTCCAATTTACAGTAATATTTTGGAATGATTGGTTTATTCCTGATTTTAAGGCTATGGGATTTGAACAATTCATATGTTTATTGTACAGCTTAAGTTTTGTTTATTAGTTATTAGGATAAATTCTTATCACAGTTGCATTAAGGGAAAAGGAACTGTACAGAGTTCACACTACTACTTTATTGTGCAATGATCTGGAAAGAGTGCATCAGTTTGCAGACTTTTAAGAGCCGAGCCAGAAATCTCTCTCATTCCACAAAATTTGAGGGTGCATTCAGACGAGCATGCATATGCAGTCTGTGGCAGCGTGAACAGCATGCAATGCACATGCATCCATTCACCACACTGCAAATTTGCAGCACGGTGCGGGGTTTTGACACCAGGAAATCCCATTGTCAAAAAAATTAAAAACTACTGCCACAGAAACAAAAACAAAACAAAAAGCGGTATGGCACACGTGGATGCTGGATTGCCACCGCTGCTGCCCCAGGAGGTCAGCACCATGCACAGGTGCTGGCACCAGTCTCCCCTACCCCACCCGGAGCATTTTTCCCTGCACTAACCTCATGTACAGGGGTGTGCTCCAATGCAAAACGCAGAGGCACAAATTCATGTCACTGCTTTTTCCCCCCGCATG